TATGGGTCGGAACTGATTTGATGGTATTTAAGAACAACAACAATGGCCCAAGCACCTGAATTAATTTATCCCAGCCGGTTCCACATTAAGTGTAAGATTTTGAAAAAAAACAAAACAAAACAAAACAAAAACTCTTTTTGTCTTATCTTCTTGATCTATAATGTAGAGATGATAAACCAAACCAAATACATTGTCTTCAAGTTTATTCTACTTCATAGTAACCCTCTAGTGACCCTATAGTGTAGAGTAGAATTGCTCCATAGGGGTTCCAAAGCTGTACGTACATCTTCACAGAAGCAGATTGCCACACCTGTCTCCTATGGAACTGATGTTTAACAACCAAGCGCTCAACTACTTCAACAGCTGCTATGAGGTTACTATAAAAAGTACTCAGGACCCTGTAGCGTAGTGGTTACGAATTGGGTTGGGAACTGTAAGGTCTGCAGTTTGAAACTACCAGCTGTTCCACGGGAGAAAGATGAGGCTTTCTGCTCCCATAAAGATTTACAGCTTCGGAAACCCTGTACAGGATCGCTATGAGTTGGTTCCGAATCCACAGCACATCACCACCACCACCACCACCACCCTGCATAAGGTAAAATTTTACATCTTCCTTCTATGCCATGTGGGCACAGATGAAATAATTATTCCAGATGATGCTCAGTTGCTGTTCCCTCACTTTGTTTACTGAGTGAGTTGAGATTATTTAATTTGTGAGGATAAAATTGAGAACTAAAATTTAAGATGCTTCCCACTTCTAGCAATCTGTGAAATTTGGTTAAAACTGCAACTTGGTCCAAGATCAATCCTGAGGGATGGACAAGCAGAAATTGTTAGAAATGGATTTAAGAGTGGGAGATAACATAGGTAACTCACTGTTGTTTCACAAACCAGATGAAACCAATCTTGCCCACCATGGTTTAAATTATCTGCTGATTCAAACAGAAACCATTAAGTAAGACCCTATGTGTTCAAAGGTTTTCATAATCCCAATTCCTACATCCTTCTCAAAATTATTTTGTATCATTATAACTTTCCACATCCTTTGGTGCTCAGACTGACCTTTTATTGCCAAGGAGTTTGTTAGGCAGGTCCATTCCTGTCCCTAATCTCTGTCAGATGTTGTTGTTGTCAAGTGTTGTCGAGTTGGTTCTGACTCATAGTGACCCGGTATAAGGTTTCTGAGGAGCAACTGGTGGGTTTGAACTAACTTTGTAGTTAGAAGTCCAGTACTTATCCTACAGAGTCACATCTTGCTTCTAACCTATCCTCCCTCCTTAAACAGTTCAATTTAGGTCAACAAAGTCTCCTCTGAAAAAATTTCACTGGGAAACATTATTTAGTCCTGCTTACAGACATCATCTAGAATTCTTTTACCTCCCCAAACTCAAAGAACATTAAAGAGGAACATGATTTGAGTCCCTTAAGGAAGCTAAATCTGTTTTGATGTGGTGCAAATCAAAGAGTGTAGAATTCGTCAGGGTTTGAGATATGGAAACACGGCTTTCCTGAGTGTATAGATCTAGATGGAGGGTATGTTGAGAAACAACAGCTTCATATTTTGATAATTTTACTTAATAAAGGTTTCTGACTTTATAGCAATATATATTTTTTTTAATTTAAGGTTTTTATTGTGGATTGAGTGAAAGTTTACAGGGTGCAACATCAGTATCACATTCAACCATTCATATAATTTGTTTCATTACATTGATTATAATCCCCTCCATATACCACAGTTAACAATGTTTCTCTCTATCCTCTGTAGTTTTTTTTGGTGGGGAGGGGGGTGGAAAAACTTTGCCTTTTTGGACTTTACCGTCTCGGCTTCTAGGGAAGGTTTTTACATGTATCTGTGGATATCCAGGGCTCATGCATGAGATTACTAGCAAGCATACTGAATAATCAGATGAAGGCCAGTTTGCTATGTCTGCTAGGTGACCAAAGTCTGATCCTCAGAGCCTATGGTTTGGATGGTCTGCAACTCTTGGGCCCACAGGGTCTTGAGCTCCTGACCGGGTCTGCACTGTCTGCCACAGATTCCCCCTTATTTATTGTTTATTTAAGGGACGCTGCCTGTCTTAGGCGGTCAGTGCGAATTCCTCCGTCTTACCCGTCATCGAAACTCATTGCAGCATGGCAATGGCTCTGTCTTAGGTTGCTGAGGTTCCACGTGATCCTTACCTGTCTCTGGCCACACATCCAGCATAAACAGCCACCATCCGAAGAAGGCAGGGAGGGAGGAGACTGGGTGGGGACCCCACACGCAAGACGTTGCCAGATCACTACCTGCTCTAACTTGACTGTATAGCAATACTTTTGATATACTTGTGTGATAGAAACAGGTGTCAACTTAAAATATGCAAGTGTATATAATGATTTTTATCATTATATAAAGAATATTAAATACAAGTGCTTTAAGTCATACCAGATATGCAAATTTTTATGAGATCTAACATCTGACTCAATCTCAAGTCAGTTCTGTAGCTTACCAAACACCTTCTGAAGACGTTAGTCCATTGACACTATCAAAAGGTACAGCAGGATGGTTGGGAATCAAGTGATTCACCGGTGGTATTAGTTTCCCAGGGTTGCTGTAACAAATTACCAAAGATTTTATTACTTAAAACAATAGACATTTATTGTAGTTCTAGAGGTCAGACATCTAAAATCAGTATCAATGGACTGAAATCAGGGTGTCAGCAGGGTCTTACTCCCTCTGAATGCTCTAAGCAAAAATCTGTTCCTTGCCTCTCCAACTTCTGGCAATATTGACAAGCCTTGGATTGTGGCCTTAGCACTTTAGTCTTAAAGGACAATGATGTTTTTATTGTTGCTAAGTGCCATTAAGTCAGTTTTAACTCATAGCAACTCTGTATAAGGTTTCTGAGGAGTACCTGGTGGGCTTGAACTTTGCAATTCAAACTTTACAAACTTTGCAAATCAACTTTGCAATTCAAACAGATCTTGGATCCAGTACTTATCCTATAGTGCCAAACCAGGACTCTTGTCAAATCACTCTCTACTTCATCTTCATGATTTGCAGCTACTTCTCCTCTAGATGTGTCTATGTTAAGTCTTCCCTTGCCTCCCTTTGACTTCTAAGGACACATTTGATTGTAGTTAGAGACCACCTGGATAACTCAGGCTAATCTCTCCATCTCCAGAGTCTTAACTTAATAATCACATCTTCAAAGTCTTTACTATATAAAGTAGTATTTATAGGTATGTGGCACTGTAGGATAAGTACTTGACTGCTAACCACAAGGCCCGAGGTTCAAACCCACAAGGTTTTCTTGGAAACTCTATATGGGGTAGCTATAAGTTGAAGCTGATTCCACAGCATTTAGCAATAAGAAAAATGTTCCAAAATTAGAGGCACAGATATTAGGACATGAATATCTTTTAGGAGGCTATTTTTCAGCCTACTACACTAATGCTGGGAATGAGTGAAGCTAACTCTATCACAGAGAATGTACTCAAATATACTTGAAGTAAAATAAAAGAATGATTCCTCTCTGGGACATAAGAGCTTTTTTGTCTCTTACATACTGAATTGTTTCCCTACTTGTGAGTGAACACTTTCCAAATCAACCTCCCTACTGTTTGTGCTATGTTTCAAACAATTCCTTTAAGCAACTGTTTACTTTTAGAGTATTTCCCTCGAGTAATAATCCCTTGGACTTAAATTTACTGTTTCTCGCTATTCTCATAATTTTATTACTTTATTCAACAAATATTGAATAAAGATGGCATGAGACTTACAAATGTGCTCTGTAGTGAAGCAAGGGAAGAACATATTATGGGTCAAAGTGAAAAAAAAGTATCAAATACTTGTTGGTTCTGCAATCACTCAGCAAGAATGTACCAAATGCACATTGTAGTTAAAGTTTTGTAATTATTGAGTACAATTTTCAAATTTTGGATAGGATATGAATCAGCAAAGTGAAAACAAAGGTAATAATAAATAACTGATAATATACCATTGAGAATCTTGAGAAGGCTGAACTTAGTGATGGAAGGTAGATGTTTAACCCACTTGTCTTTTAACTACTAATCCTTCCTTTGCTTTTTTATTTTTTCCCAGATAGTAGATGATGAGAAATTTAAGTGGAGGCCACATACAGGAGTTTGTCTTGGTGGGCTTCCCTACATCACCATCCCTCCAGCTGCTCCTGTTTAGCCTGTTCCTTGCAATTTATCTGTTGACATTGCTTGAAAATGCACTCATCATATCCACAGTCTGGCTCACTCCCAGCCTACACCGCCCTATGTACTTTTTCCTTGGCCATCTCTCATTCCTGGAGCTATGGTACATCAATGTCACTGTTCCCCGGCTCCTGGGAGCCTTTCTTACACAGGATCGTAGAGTCTCTTTTGCAGGTTGCATGACCCAACTCTACTTCTTCATTGCCTTGGCCTGCACAGAATGTGTCCTGTTGGCAGTCATGGCCTATGACCGCTACCTGGCCATCTGTGAACCCCTCCGTTATCCCAGTCTCATGCCTGCCAGTCTGGCCACTCGTCTTGCTGCTGCTTCATGGGGTAGTGGCTTCTTCAGCTCCATGATGAAGCTTCTCTTCATTTCCCGACTCTCCTACTGTGGACCCAACATTATCAACCACTTTTTCTGTGATATTTCCCCACTCCTCAACCTCACCTGCTCTGACAAGGAGCAAGCAGAGATAGTAGACTTCCTTCTTGCCCTAGTGATGATTCTACTGCCTCTATTGGCTGTAGTTTCATCATACGCTGCCATCATTGCAGCCATCTTGAGGATTCCTACTGCCCAGGGGCGCCAGAAAGCCTTCTCCACCTGTGCCTCTCATCTGGCAGTGGTTGTCATCTACTACTCCTCCACTCTTTTTACCTATGCACGGCCCCGGGCCATGTACACCTTCAACCACAACAAGATCATCTCTGTGCTCTATACTGTCATTGTACCCTTTTTAAACCCATCCATCTACTGTCTGAGGAACAAAGAGATGAAGGATGCCCTCAAGAAGACAGTGCTGGGCAGATGTCACTATTCTAGGGATCTCCTGGACTGAATCTGTAAGAGAGGGAAGAACAGGGTCTTAGTAGGACTACCTCAAGGAATCACAGAATGGACTTAAAAGGAACATAAACACCAATTAGTCTGGAGTTTTAAAAAAATATTGACCTCATAGCAGAAATGACAGTTTATGAATCATTGGTCTTACACAGGGGTTCGCAAACTATGTTAGGGCTTACTACATAAGAATCTATGTTGCTACATAAGAATCATATAGGGGTAAAAATTGCGAAACAATCAAATTATCTGGGGGAAAAATTTGGAACTTTTGATATTGTTGTTGCTGTTGTTAAGTGCCATAGAATTAGTTTGACTCATAGTGACCCTATATAGGGTTTCCAAAGTATGTCATGCATAATTTTTTAAAGCTCCCACATACTCCTGCTACACAGCCAGTCTAGTGACAATAATGAGCTTCTCTAATGATGACCAAGCCCATTATTGTGTAAGAAAATTTAATTGATACAAGAAACTAAAAGGAACTTGGTGATTGATTGCTAATGTCGAGAGTAATGATGTATGCTTTAACAGAGCAAGTTCACAAATCCAAATTTACAAATGTCAATTCCATGACAAATTGTAAAAGTATCAATTATACACCCAAGAACTAAAGCTGATATCTCCTAAGCAATACATTTTAGTTCTACAAGCTTTCTACCCACTGCAAGTCACAGGAGAGAGGTTACTTCTGTTAGTTAGTCACATATGTGACAATAAATATGGCAGAATATCCACTCTGCATTTCCTTTGTTTGACCCAGGGGGATATGGAGCTTGCTGATCAAATATGAACAGGCATTGATACAGTAATAAGTAAAATGTGTTATAAAGCTTTTATACAAGTTGGTCTTAAAATATTTTTCAACACTATGATAATCTTCAATTTCAAATGGTTTGTTCATGGGTTGTTAAATAGGTTTTCTTTCTTTTAATTATTCCCTAGGAAAACTACCTAAACAACAGAAAAACACTTTAATAATAGGGAAGATGTGGGAACCAGAGATAAGGTGTATCAGGTTCAAACCTAAACTATAGATATTCTTTCAAATTGTCCTGAATTTTGGAAACTTGCTTGATTGTTTATAGGTATTTACACTCTCTAAAGAGTCATTGATTCAAATTTCTGTACAATAGAATACTTTTTCCTTGTGGAATGTGTGTGTGAGGGTTGCTTTAATATGCAATTAAACAAACTTCGAAAAACAGATCATCAATGAATACACATTTGCATATTCAGAGTCAGGTTTTGAAAAAATACAGTTATCCATCAAGGAAATCTCCATGATCAATAATCATCTTAGGTTTTCCAGTATATAAGACAAACAAAGAAAGAACTTAACAAAGTATAGATTGCTGTATTTTCATGAAATGTTTTATATCTGACTATCATGTTCACTTCTCTTTTCATAAAATTATGGAAGACTTGGTGTTTTTTACTCAGACCTTAAAACCAACAAATTTCACTTGAAGCTAGTGTTGTTGCTAACAAGAATCAAAACAAGAAATTTTATTTCTTTAGTTTTAGTTTCTCCTTCCAAAAACGTTTCCCTTTTATATTTTCTGAGAATGAAATCGACCTTTAGTTAATTTTTCTAATTATGGGTCCATAAAAATCTGATCAATATTACTAGGTAACATTGCTTATAGTACAGATAATCCCTGCTTGGTTAAATTATATGGTCTTGGAGGATAGCAACTGTCTTTAAATTGTTGTTGTTAAGTGCCGTCAAATCAGTCCTAACCCATAGTGACCCTGTATAGGGTTTTTGAGGAGCAGCTGGTGAGCTTGAACCACCGACTTTATAGTTCAAATGGTTTTGCAGTCTGGAGTATTAACCCACAGAGCCACACCAAGACAGTGAGAAATCAGAACTTGGAAGCTACTTTTGTATTTGGAATGTTTTTGGATACCCACAAAATTGCTACAAGAGATATTGGCCCTTATAGGGCTTGAAGATTCTATGTCAACTTGGATTCTGTACACCTTTGTGTGAATCTCATGTCCTCACACCCATCCTGTGACTTTGAATTCCAGAGACTAGCTCCTTTACTGCTTTCAGGACACCTTCCCCGTAAGAGAAACATCTGATGCATCTCTGCTGGCCTGTTAACATTTTCTACCCTTTATTTTTCTGAGTAAAATTTAAATACCAACTATGATTTATGATCCTGTGTGAATTTGATTGTTAGGTGGAACCCAAGATGTCTAGCATATAATACTTGTGTTGTTTGTAAATGTCTTCGAGTCAATTCTGTCTAATAGGAACCTTGTATAGAGTTTCCAAAATGTGGTTTTGAACCACAAACCTTGCAATTAGCAGTCAAGTATTTATTCTACAGCACCATACCAGGTGCTGTAGTTTAAAGTAAAAGCTTAAGCTATCATCATAATTTTGGCATTATTGTTGTGATTATTTGCTTTCTAACTAAAAAAAACCTTTTCTATTAGATTATTTTAAGCTCACTCTTACTAAAATTGAGATTGGAGAATTGGTCAATAGGAGGAAGGAAGAGGGTGCTCAAAGACAAATGAAGAAAACAAAACTTCAAGTATCCTTGTAACTATGAATTGTTGCTGTTGTTAATTGCCATCAAGTCAATTCTGACTCATAACAACCTTATATAGGGTTTTTGGGGAACAGCTGGGGGGTTGAACAGTCAACCTTGTAGTTTGAAGTCCAGTGACGATTGTACAGCGCCACACCAGGAGAAAGTAGTAAATTAACTACAAAGTTTAGCATTTCTAATGATGTAATATAAAACAATGCCAACATGTCAGTAAGTCCTACATTAATTATGTTTAATTACATCAGAGCATATCATGACTCTATGTTAGAAGATTAAACAGAAAACATTGCCCTCTGAACCTAGACCCAGAGGGCCTGGAGGAAGGTAGAATCTCAGGTGAGTAGTATTCAATCTGACTAGGCGGGGCTGATGCAATGAAATGCAGATGGGTCTCTTGTAATACAATGATGAATGATTGTTATCAGGACTGACTGTGAAGGTTGGAAGTGTAAAGGTGGACGTTTTATAGCAAGGAGGGGAGTGATTGACTTTTCGGTCTGGGAGTGGAGGTCCGGCGGACCAACAAGGGAGAAGAGCAGAGAGTGGGACCCTACCCAGAGAAGCAGTGATGCCTAAAATGGAGCCAGAGATGATGACGTGGAGCTATGGAGCAGCTGGAGACTTTAGATCCAAAGAGGGAGAGCCACTGTGTGCTGAAGACCTGGGGGGCACGGAGGAAGGATTGCATGGAGGGGATTGTAACCATGGCAATGAGACGATATATGATAGAATGAATGTAAAA